CTGTACATCATAGGACTGGACACTCTTACCCACACAGAATCTTTCAAGGTGACAAAAACAGGTTGGAGAAAAATTAAGGCTAAGGTAGAAAGGAGAGGGAAAAAATATCTTAGGACTCCATTGTAAAGAATACTGCAGGTACTCAAGTACTTAAATACATTATTTAATGTATTCATGAGAAATACTAGGTTCCACATACCATATTCAAAAAAGACTTTTTTTTTTTAATAGACCATTGTGGCCTGCTATAGTACAGTTAAAACTCAAGTACTCTTTTTTTTTTTTTTTTAACCTTCTACAACAAAGTGTGAATTCATACTGAAACAGAAATACAAAACTGAATAATCTACAGCAATGGTCACAATGAAGTTCAGTATGGGTCAGGAAGACAGAATCTAGTCAAGCAAACATAACAAACTGGCATTTTCATTTACTGCATCCTGAAGTACTTTAGAGAGCCATAAGTTACATACCTGGAGAAGAATAACCATATGCATGCATGGAAAAATAAAAATTAAAAAAGCATTCATAATGCATCATCTGTTCCCAAGATAGTACAGCTGCCACACTTTTAGTAGTGGAACCACAAATTCTATATCAACTTTGAACATGCTATACTTCTACCACAGCAGAAAGAAAGTAAACTAACCCCATAGTGAAGACCACCACCACCTTGGAGGAACAGAGATCAAAAAGAGAGGGGTAGGGGTAACAATGAGTCACTTAAAGCTGAGTGTAGGAGGTTTTACTAGAAAAGAAAACAAAAACATAAATTATTTGTTTAGTTTTATACATGATCGAAATTCTGTGTTAGCATTTCTCACTGGAGATGGAACATCTCAGATTTAAGATTTCACACCACCTCCCCACATGAAAATATGTAAGTAATGAATGATTAGAAAACTTTTTATGCTGCTGCTACTCCTATCATGGAAACTCTACTTTGAGAAGGGAGTTGGAATAGATGATCTCCAAAGGTCCCTTCAAACCTACATTAGATCCTATGAAGCTCTTGCGAAGTAATGCAAGCTGGTCACGCAATTTGCACAATTGTCATCAGCAGCAGAGCTGTACAGACTGTCGTGACAGCTCCTTTTGATGGGAGCTGACACAACATATTTCCATCCATACCTCCACTGCAGTCAGTTATGCACCCACTGGATGAATACACCTTACTTCTACAGTGCCGCTTGTTTGAATACAGCAGTTTGAGCAGAAACAGTGCTGACGTGTCCCTGATGTTTGCTTCAGAGAGGCGACACCACTATTGAAAGCTTAGCATCCCTTTACGCTCTTAGTTGAATCTGTGCCACAGAATTAAGTAATTTGCTAATCCACAACAAAAAAGAGAGTATTGGATCCCAGAACTGCTAGAGATTGATATCTAGTAAGCCTACAAATAAAATTGGCAATTAACAGACTCATGCTAGACTGCATTACCCTTATCAAAGACAAGGGTATAGATACATCTTCCTGACAAGACATAGAAAGGATACTCATCTGGGAAGACAAAAAGTAATATAAAATGAGTTTTTAAAAAATTAAAAGGAGTTGAATATTGATATCAATAAAGAATTATTGAAGAGTTTGAAAGAGTTCACATGAAGGCTCTAGAGACTTATTCCAATATATTTTTAAAAGATGAAATTTACACCAATATGAAGAAAGCCTTGCTACATCCCTCTGAAATAAGGCCAGATTAAAATTGCCTATTTGTGGGCAAATAAAATTGAAAGGAACAGTGTATCACCTATCACAAACTGGCTACCAGTTTGTAAGAACACCTGTGAAAATGATTCACGGAAGAAAGAACTGAGTTTGGAACCAGTCATGCACCTTTGTGAATCAGATTTTGAGTGCGCTGTGGGCAAAGGACAGAGATCCTGTTAATACGCAGGAGGCCGCCAAATTGTCTGATGAAGATATAGCAAAACATGTTTGAGAGGGAAATCAAAAAGCTGAGACATATTAGTTAACATCACATGTGATCCTCAACAGGTTTTCTCAGAAGAAAACAAAAAAACCAACAAAACCTGACTCGTAGGAAGCTAGTAGGATGTTTCCAGAAGTGCACAGGTTAGGTAACCAACCACGTAGTCCGGTTTCCATGAGACAAGAAAGAAAAATAACAAGGAACGTGACCAAATTTTTTTATGCAGTGATGGCAGGGAAAAGTTAAACCTCAGAAGAAAAACTGCCACAAACTGTAAGGAAATAAAGGCAGCCTTGAGCAAAGACTTGAGCAAGCTCCTACTCAAAAAAAAAAAAAAAAAACAAACCCAAAAAACAAAAAACACATACACCACACCACAGATGTACTCATCAGGAGAAACCCAGTCCCTGAAATGTTATTCCTGTCGGGCATACCTGCTTAACAGATCCTACTGCGTACATAGTAATTATGGTCAAAAGAATAACAGGCTCACACTGAATTAAGACACAGCTTTGACACCACGTAAGCTAGTTGCTCCCTTGTCTTAGGTCCTGAAATGCATTACATGTAAAGGAAAAGGAAAACAAAAACTTAATTGCAAGTCCACTGCAAAAATAGGTATTTATTTATGCAATGCAAAGGGCACGCAAAAACCTAGAATACAAGCATGAGAAACAGCAGTATAAAGATAAAGCAGAAGAAACAGCAATCCTTGTGCCAGAGTGCAGGGAAGACTAACTGGATGCTGGGCATCATGCCTACACCAAGCTCGGTGTGATGCTGGGCAAAGACCACCTTCTACCTTAGTGTGACAACTTAGACCACCTGCAGAATAATAAAAACTTCTGAGAGAAAGAAATAGAATAGAGCCTGCAGAGGGAAGGGACCTTGACAACAGCAAGAGATGACCCAGAGGAACACAATGACAAACCTCAAAAAGATAAAGAAGGTTGGTTTAAGGTAAGTGCTTTATGGAACCATAATGGATGGAATCTCTACACTTTGCTCCTAAGTTCTCCTGAAACTTTCCCTTCTCCACATCTTTTGAAATACCAGCCAAATACGCAAAATTACTTTTTTTATTAGACTGTTACTATTTAGGGCATTAATGGGCAAAGAAAAAAGGATCAGTACTACTTCAATACATATTTTGTCTTCCTGATGCATTGCACTGGTTTGGTATCAGCAAACAAGAAAACATACACCGACCCCAACATTTGAATATTTGCATGAAATGTAATACAATCAAAAGAATTTCTGCAACCCATGCATCATTTGAAATTCATACAATCAATCTGTACTAACAAGCAGTGAACTTGCAATACCAAATGTAAAGGACACAGTATTTGGCTTGCAGTCCCCAAATCTGAATTTAAAGTTCTTTGACCATCTGCTTATGCTCAAAACCAGAAATAATATACTGCTACTTGGGAGGGTGGGAGCAGAGAAGGGAAGGGGGAAAGGGCTGGCTTTGCTGATGCCTCATTCTGGAGGCAATACACAAGGGTTTTTTCCCCCACCTCTAAAGAAGCCCTAGGCTGATAATGTCATGAATATTATTTCTGCCTTCTGGCACAATTTCAATTTTCAAGTAGGTACACTTTGATCTTTACTTCGGTAGGACAGCCTTGTTTCCCCATCACAGTAGGAGACCCTCTATCATCAACTGTGATAAGCTGCAGTGACTCTTATCAGTGAAGAGGCTGGCAGCACACAAGCCCAGGTGACCTTTAGTGCTCTCAGACAGCTGCTTTCTCCAAGCCTTTCACAGCACAAGAATTCCCACCACTGACATATTTAGTGCACTGACCCTATTCCAAAGACTGACAGGTTCTGTAAACCCTCACAGCAACAAGAGCAACCTTCACACAAAGCCTTGCATAGCACAATCATCCTTAGAAACCTCGCTTTCACACTGTCACTGTTCATTTATCATGAACCATAATGGTAACAATCATCTTTTAATAGCTCCTTCAAGTTCACACAACTGTATCTTCATATTGTCATTAGTTTGTACCATACCTAATATTATCAAGATCTGCTAATTGCTTGAGGGTCCTAAAAGAAATAGTTTCCAATGATCCAGTTCATGCATAATGAAGTTCTTCGGGGGATTAGTTAAGAGAGTTTTGCCACTTATCTACTTTTTTGCCCTAGTAAAACTTTAAACCTAACACTATGTCAGATTGAAGTTCCACGAGAAGTCCTCCCAACTGAAATGCTGCCCTCGAAAAGGGTCCTGAAGAGAGAGGCAGAGAGGAAAAACAAGTGAGAGAATACGCACTCTGCCTGGGTTAAAATATACAGGGCTGTCACTCTTTTCTAAGATTACTTGTCTCATGAAAGAGGACTGAGACAAAAACTAGAAATTTCACCAACACATTATCATGCGGTTTCTAGAACTGATTCAATTTTCAAAATAAATCCTGCAAAATAAATCCTCTAAAGCTGTATCAAAATTATTATCTCCATTGTGTTTAGGCCATTCTCCCTCATCCCACAAGAGATCACAAAAGCTCTCCCAGGGAAGAGAACTCCACTGCCAGGAGCAGCTATAGGCTCCGCACCTGCTCCACTGTCATACTGGGATCTCAGCAAAGCCTGAGAGGCAACACAGGTTTCCCTGGGTACTGCACAAGTGACATTCAACTTCCTAAAAAGTCCCCTTTCCACCCTCCTGCTAATGGGCATTTGCCACCATCCATGAGTCAGTATAGAGATAAAGTGCTGGCCATTTTTCTCATTCAGCAGTATCTAAAGCCAGCTGGATGGCTTTCACCTCTGCAAACTGACTCGATTCACCTTCTCCTTCAGCAATTTCTGCAACTTGTCATACAGGACTCTAGACAGCAGTTTTCCACCTCCGATGCTTCCCCACAAGATGACAGGACCCATCAGTGAACAGGGCATATTACTTCTCATTTTCTGGTAGCTTATTATACAGTGGGGCCTCTTCAGCACGC